TCCTATAATAAAAAAGATATATTTTAGCGTTTCAACATAATTACTGAGATTATTTTTAAATGTCAAGTTGATTCATTTTGTTGCACTGAAATCTTCTGTTTCTGTCGACATGTCTATCGTCTCCTATCAGATATTGCTTGGACTATACCTTAAAGTTGGTTAATAACTGCTAACAATGGAATCTTGGATGTGCATCTCATCCTATTTGGCATGTGTCATATGGACATTTTCAAACAAAATGTGACGATCCCAACTTAAAAACTATGGTTACTGAATTCAAGTCTCACTTGGACTGTAAGTACATTTATCAAGATAAATCCCAAAATGGGACAAAACGCCTTCTTTGGATTACACTGGTAACGAACAGCTTACAGATACCATCAAGATTAATTGTTATTATTATTTTTGAAACAGTTGTATTCAACATTTCGGATGTTAAGAATCCATGATTGAAGACTTATGATGAAATAACTTAAGATCCTTCTCAAAGCAGTAAATATTTTAAATCTTCATTATTTTTCAAACTCTGGGGATTCTCATTAATTATTCCTTCTGCAACATATTTCCGTCTGTTTTTCTACTTCTTTTGGAGAACAAATTCAACTGCTAACCTTTCATGCAAAAGTTTGTCTTCATGACCAAGTTATTTCTATCCGCTTACCTTATTTTTAATGATTCATTAGACCCGCTAATTACATTCTTAACGGTTTAAGTCGGTTTAGAGTTCTACCGTCCTTTAATGAAGATTAATTTGTCTTTCTTCAAACTTTTATCAACATCTGTCTTTGCTGGCTCCATACTGTGAAGATCAAATGGTCAGCCCCAAAGATTCATCAACAAGAAACTCTAGGAATCAATCAACCAAGAATCTATTGCTCATTAAATACGCCAAAGAAAATGAAAATGAATCGGACACACGATGAAGAGACCTCTGAGTAATATTGCATATCAGGCCAGTCTTTGTCGGGAACCTGAGTGGGAAACGACGAGTTAGGTGTGGGTGTGAGGGTGGCATGGAAGAGATCGCTTGTGTAGGAGATGGGAGTCCATGGGCAACCATAAAGTCAACTAAAGATCACCACAGAGAACAAGACAAAGTGAAGACGTGTTGCGGAAGCCCGCTGTACAACTCGGGGCTCAAGGAAGTAATAAATTGGAATTCATGGGCCATTGGATCGTGTCCCGGTGTTTTAATGGTCTATGAGTTAGGTCGCCTTGTAACCAAAAGGTCCTGGGTTCGAACTCTGTCGGCGTGTGCGTACTGATGAAGAGACCCAAATTAGGACGAAAAAACTGTCCAGTAATCCCGGGCTTTCCAATGGCTCTCTAACCGATGTCAGCTCATGACGAATCCAGTAATCAATCAATCAAATCCCAACAAACCAATACTTGAGTAATATAATAACTTGTCTTCAGTAATATGGTTTCCAAAAGTGACAAGTTAATACACATAGTTTACTATTACTCTGAATTTCTTCTAGAGCAAAATGTCCAAAATATTATATAGAATTGAGCTTATGTCATTTCGAGTATTTACAGACAAGAGGAAGATACACTTCATCAGTTGAGAATGAATGAAAATCACTGAATAGAGAAATGTCCAACTTCCCAGGGGATTATAGGTGTTTCAGCTTTCAACCTTCAATTTTCAGTAACAGTGTTGTTGTGGAGTAAATTTTATCGAGTTTAGTAGGCAACCCCATTGAAATTTTAATTAATTAATAAGTAACCTGGTAATATAGGTTATACAGATGAACTGTCTATGGTGTACAGCAGGAAGAGTTCAAGATTAATAACTCTGAATGTGTCGATAGTTTACTATCTTCGAAAATGAAAAGCGAGGCAGAGACAGTTAAATCAAAGAATGAAGCTTAATCTCGTTAATATTACTGTTCTTCAAGTCTTGCCCTAGCTTCATACCTTAGCGTTTTAACAACATAACATCCTCTATAACTGACGTGTTAAGTCAAAAAGAGTAAGTAGATTTCTCTTTCTCTCAAAATGCTTTCATGTGTCTACGCGTTGGTAGTCCCTGCCAGACTAGTCAAATCCGCAATCTTCGTGTGATATGAGTTTTCTACAAAAGCGTTAGGATGACTGTAGACACACTGTTTTCAACCTGGTCCTGAGAACATGAAGGTTTGATCTACAGGAGTTGGAAGGCTTTGATTCTGAACTTATGGTACACATGGATCCTAGGATCCGTAAAGAATGAATGTTACATGAACTCGCTTTGACTACAGGGAACCACTGTTAGTTAGATTTCTAGTCAAAGGCTTGACCAATAGTCCCTTAAAACAACAGTCTGCTTTAATCTGGGCATCCACGGACTATATCAATCACCATGACCACTACTTGATTCATTATTATTTTATTGTTATCCTGATATTTTTCCATTAATTTTAATCATCTTTATTTACTATCCTAATTTCCACCAGCAAATGTTGTTTGAAATATCAGTCTACACGTTTTATCTTGAGTCTCCAATTAGTTATTCTCAGTAAGCTTGTCTTTATGATGACGGTTAACACACCTACTCTGACACCACGTGTCATTTACAAGCATTCTATGTACAACTTTCGAACAACAGTGACAGAATCCTGGATAGCTTAGCCGCTAATTTTTGCTGCATCTCCGATAAAAGAGACCATCGTTTGCATCTCTGTATAAATCAAAACCTATTTCTAGTAAGTATCCGATTCCTTTGTAACCGTTGTCGAAGTTCTGTCCAGCATCTCTTTCCATTCGCAATCTGGACTTAAATAAATGACATTATCATTACCTACTGATAGTGTGAATGTACAAAAGACTACTACTCGTCTTACATTGCTAATCAGGATAGAAATCATCCCTCAGTGTGAGCCCTGTTTTTCTTGAGATTTATTAATAATCATAAGTGTCGTGTTAATTAGGTTGACGTAAGCAAAATGGTTGCACATGGTATTGTTCCAATAAATCAAACACAGCTATGTTCATGACTATCTACTGAACTTTCAGATAGCATAGATGGACACCTGCCTGCAAGACTTGATGAAGACACTTAATAAACACACTAAGAAGAATGATAAACTGAAATCCATTAATTTTTAGATCCCCTTAGAGGCTTCTTGTAACCTGTCAGTTCATGTTAGTGGGTTAATAAGTCTAATAAACTGCGTAATGCTCTTATGCATAAAATTAAACGATGCCTACGTAAGAACTTCCAAGCTTGGTGGTTAGCATCTGCATCCAACAATAGTTGGAAAATGTTACAGCGAAAGTGAGACACTGAAATCGAGATAATGCATTAAGTAGATCGGGGGCTGATTAACAAGATAGAAAAGACACCTAAGATTCTGGGTGAAGCAATATGAATGCCATTTTAGTCGCTCATTGGTGACAGTATTGTGTATTCTTGATTGTAGCTCTCCTTCCTGTATTAACACCGACCCACCTGATGAAGCAAAAGTTCGAAGTAATTTCTAAACTTCCGAATGACATAAGGCTATCTTCCGAGAAAACTTGCCGCCGAAAACTTTGAAAGATGGCGGTAAGACCCTACTCAGGAAACTGATTTGCTAACAGCAACCTGGGCTTCATTCACGTAATAGATGCATAGGTCGCACATTTAGACTCTGTTAGAACAAAGTTATATATATTCCATGTCAACAGTCGTCTTTTCGATACATTCCTGACTAAAATTTGTTGTACAAGTCTGCTCATCAGAATTATCTGACAGAGACGTGGTCCTGAGGAGTTCATTGATACCCTAAAAGCTCTATGAAGAAACACCTCAGTTAAAGTAAAGACATACAGCCAGCTATCACAACTGTTCTCAACTAACAGCTTCCCCACTAGTGCCATTTTAAACATGGTTGTAAACAGTGTGCTTCCCAGGAACGCAGGCCTGACGTTTGGAGAAAGATATTACAACACTTAGTGTGCAGACGTTATCATGTTACCACAAACAGGCTCTTGGTCACTTAGTTTGGTAGTCGTATACTGAGTGCCTGCCTCTGTGTACGAGCAAAAGAGGGTTGCATGGTTATCAACAGACCTGCACGAAATGACCTTCAGAATTGATAGACAAGGTGAAAAATCTAGACATGGATGAAGTCTATAACATTAAAATGAGGAGAAGCTGGTATAAGCTAACATCAGGCCAAGTTAGTGATGTCGATCGATCTCGAGATCACAAAATTTTACGGAGTTATCTTTAACATTTTCTCTTATGCTTAAATGGCCGGAACAGAGTCAAAGATCAATATGGAATGTCAGAAAACACCATAAAAATGAAAATTATATAGTTAAGTCGATTAGCTTTTTTCTATTGGATAAATGAAATGAAAATTTCCATCCAGCTGGATGGAAATTGGGCTTCTAGACGCTCAATTATGAAGCATACTTATCACCCTGGAGTGATAAACAGCTAAATCGAGGCTTAAATAGGTAATTTTACATAACAAAATAAGGTATGTATTTACTTGGAAAGAAGACCAGATAATTTGAAAAACCGATGTTTCATTTGAGCAACTTGAACATTGCTTAGCTTGCCTTCATATCCAAGATTTTCTACGGAAGTGATCGCCGGATGTACGCTGACAGTACAAGAATCCTCCCGTTTAATTCTCGAGTCACCAACTTCATCCAGCTCGGCTTCATCTAAGTGCTTTAATGGATCTTGCAAGCCTTCAGGTTTAGCAATAAGGATTTCTACATTAGTGGGAACTGTACATATTATAAATAAGCCAGTTGTAGAGGAACCTACCTATCTGTTCTGCATGGGTTTTGAGTGTCGGAGCAGGAGACTGTTTTTCCTCTGACAGATTCGACGAAATATTTTCTTCATCCTCACTCATTTGAACTGCCGCTGAACAACATTTACATTTCGCTCTCACGTTGCCATGGTGTTTGCTTAATTTTATGAGGATAAAAATATATCTGTTTTGCATAGAAATAATTATTTGCTTTACTTCTGTGAAAAATTTGTGGATAAAGTCTGTTTTTGTTTTAATTGTTATGAATCACCTCAAGTTGGTGGTGCTCGGTCCAAATGAGGTTACAATTTATAAAGGATAATTCAGTCTTTATGTATTTTAGAGTGGGAAGTCGTATATTTGTAACTTTCTTTCCGAAACCGTGGATCAAGTTACTGGAGATTATCACCCAACAAGTGGTGTCAGGTATATCTCTCTATCTCATGTTACTGAGTCCTCAAAGAATCTTGGAATACGAACAAAAATTGAAAGTAAAAGGAAAGGTAATTAAAGTTGAAGTGGAGCTATGGGATGTCAGTGGAGACAAAAAGTGGTTATTTATCTTTATCTTACATCCTTTTTCACAACTGCAGATTTGAAGCTTGTTGGCCAGCTATTTTCAAAGGATCTCATGGAATTGTGTTTGTTTATAACCCCGATAATTCAAATCACGAAAAAGAGTTGAATGAATGGCAAGTTTTCAATTCATAATAACGTTGCTTTAGGTATCAGGCTTTGCCTCAAAGTTTAAGCCTAAAGGATAAGCAGTACTGTATCATCGCACACAAGAAACCCGACTCACCAGATAGAGACATAGTGTCTTTGCGTAAGTTAAGTCTACAGAAAATATCCACTTTTAACTAGCCCCTGTCTTTCATAAATTCTTTCAGTGTTATTCCATTATACCAAAAGATGGTGAAAAACTCAGGGAGCAGTTCGGAAAATTCGTATCTCAACTAGCTTGGGGAAGACTAGAAGCTAACGAACAAGAAGAACTCAACATTATGAACTGTTAGACATTAGTTGTGAATAATATCTAGGCTTCTATTGCTATTCTCTAGCTGAATATATCTTTTTGCAAATATGAAAAAACGTCAGACTCTAGTGTTTATTGTCAATTCACATTTGAAAGCAAAGGGCATAAGTTAATACTTTCGTATTAAGAATTTCTGTATGTTTGCTCTCATATTGAACAACTCTACTAGAGGCAAATTCACCACTTTTATCATTTAGTTCCAAGAGTAACTGACAGTAAGATAAATAGCAGTCTTCAGGGATATTATCCTTCTTTGACTTTTGAACTCTCCGACTATGTTTTCTTAGATGTTTCTGTCTTACTTAAAGTAACAGTGGAGTTAAGAGAGAATCGCTGGGGTTTCTTAAAATTAGTTATATTATAACTAAGTGCCTTTCTATCTACCGATTCAGTCTTTCTCTCGTGATAAACTGTTTAAAGCGGATTTTATATGTGTAACTCACTCTTGAAGGTTTTTGGCATGCGCGTGAGTTGTTCGACAATGGCTGGTGCCTTTATTATGACTTTTGCTTACAGTTTCCTGGAGGTGTATATGGCTGGTCATTGTACGACTGGTAACCTTAGTAAAAGAGGTTTTTAGATATCGAACTGCAACTTGATGATAATGAAATAAGTCGCAAACTTTGTGTCACTGTCATGTCTAGATCACTGCGCGTCTGAGTTGAAAGGAGAGGTGCCTTCTGTTTATGCTGAGTTGAAAATTGCATGCTCAATTAACATAGCCACAGACATACTTACACTAAGTGGAAGCGTTCATTATTTTGACCGAACTAACAAATCATTACGTATATGTGGATCCCTGTCATACTTTTCCAACCTCTGAACTTTAATATCATTGATGCATCTTGCAACCTTCAGCGAGCCCGTGTTACCTGCTGATATATAGGAAAAATAATAGAGGCTTTACTACAGTACGTTACGCTACCTCTTATATACTGTCTTTTATGAAACTCCTCCTTCTGACGGGTACTTCTTCAATTTAAGTGAGTAGGTTGCCTATTTTTATACATACCTTTATGACAAGGTATAACTTTCAAGCTTCGTATGGATTTCTTAGCATATCCTTGTATACTTGTAAGTAAAAATAATGTAGGACATTGTGCTTTTCTGTATATTTTAGTTTACGAATAACTTCTTATAATATTGTCCAATGACCTAAGAATTGTAATTCACAGCCACAAATTTCATGTTCAAACGTTATTCCGTATACTTCACCCTTAATAACTGTTATTGCAAGACACTGTACGTCAGTTATGTTCTTCTATGTTGTATATAAACGTATATAGAGTCGATGAGTCGTATCCAGTTGCACATGCTTTAATAAACTTCAGTCTAACACTAACTATATTTTGCAACACTAATAGGAGTCACCAAAGCATATATATGTGGAACAGATGTCAAGTATTTACCTTCAGCAAAATTTTTGTAAGAATCTGATAACTTTAATATTGTTTACTCAGTAAATATAATGACCTGAAAGTGTTTTTTAATCGATAACTATATAATTACGTCGTATTATATTGAACGACTTAGGGGAGTTTGTGAGATAGTGATGAAATCGATGCGTATATCTTGTATTTCTTCTGATATTCAAGTTATTCGTTTCTATATGGCTTTAGTATTGTTTGCACACGGCAATGCTGCCGTTTTCGTGTCCATTCATTTCATATATATATATATATATATATATATATATATATATATATATATGCGTCGGTGGCACAGCGGTCTGGACGCTCACAGACCATGCATATGGTCCGGGGTTCGATCCCCGGTCACTAACGCACTCCTTTACCTCGCTAATCCCGTAGTAAAAGTTGGTAAAGGAGAAACGTTGGGCATGAGGCTAGCAACCCCATCCCGTAAAAATAAGCACTGCTACCGACACTTTAAGCCTCTAGTTTGAAGCCCTATATCCCCCTAGGAATGTGAAGGAATATATATATATATATATATATATATATATATACTTGAGAGTGCTAGGTAATAATAGTTCTTCACATCTTAAGTAATCCCTGAGTACCAGTTATATGGTAATGAATAATTTAAGAATTAATTTGTTCTTAATTTCATCATAAGCTTAATTTACACATATTCAATGCAATAAAATTTACTCACTCTATATAAAACACTTAGGTAAATCTTAATTTTCTTCCCAGTTGTGTTAGAATTGATTTAGAATAGAAAACACAATCCATTAGTAAGAAGAACATCTCCTAGACTGTTTTAACTTCCGCGATATATTCATCTTTTCAATATGCGTCACTGGTTCACAGTGGTTGAATGCCGGTCAACCACTACGTGAGAGGTGTGAGTTCATTTATCAGCCAATATACTTCTAGCCGATTTTAAGCTCAGTGAAGTGGAAAAGCTAACGAGGTGACTAGGAAACTGCAAATCCGTAAATACAAAACAACACAATCACTATTGAAATTAAACTAGTGTTTGAAGCCTTACTGTTCCACTCGAGAGGCAAGAAATGATTAAAAAAACAGTCTATTCAACACTAAATTCTCTTTACTTCTGATCGAATTTTATTTTATTTAGACCACCAGACTCCGTCTCTGGAATTTTTTGGTCAGTTACTACCATTGTATGCATATTTTACTTTATCAGTGGAATTATGATAGCAATATGAATGCATATATCCAACGAGAATGGAGATTTAACGACAACTACTAATCATTTGTCCATTATTATTATGATTGTTCCCTTGGGTTCCTAGTGGAACATAGGGCTTCAACTGCACATCTTCACTTGCCTCTGTCTTCTGCTGTATTTTTCACATGCATCCATGTTAGTCCTCACTGTTTCAACTCCTCCATGTCACCCTTGCACTGACGTCCCACTCGCCACGTGCTTCCCTTTTGGCCCTGTTCCACTCGAGCAATGACCTGATGCGCGCGCGATGTCACCCAGCGGCCTCCTCAGGCGCGAGTGTCCAATCCATCTCCACTTTCTCCTGCATATTTGTTGGGCGGCGATTGGTTCTTGTTTTGTTTGTTTGTTCCCATAGTTTCTTGTTGGTGATTCTTTCCGGCCCGACCATCTGATCTGATCTTCAGTATAGATCCAGCAAAGACAGTTGTTGGTTGATGGAGGTCTGCAACAGGCTGTTGGAAATACCTGTTCTTTGTGACCCGCTCGCCAAGTTTCTGATCCGTATAGAAGAACTGACTGACTAGACGTTGTTTTTATTGAAAATCCTACCGAATTTTGTTGTTGATGCTGAGTGGAGGGGATTTCCAGATTGATTTCAGGTTGATGAATGTGTTTCTCGCCTTCTCGATTTGACATCTTCGTCCGTTCCTCCTGTAGTTGAGACAATGCCCCTTAGATAAGTGAATGAAGTAACCTCTTTCGAATCCCTCCCGTTGATGGTGATTGGCGCTGGATGTTGCTGCTGCTGTTGTTGTTGTTGGTTATTTTCATAACCTCCATCTTGTCCGTGTTCACCTGGAGTCCTGTCTTCGCTGCTTCTTCGACCAGTTTGTCGGTTTTCGCTTATGGGTCTTCGATTGTGTGTGACATCAAACATAAATCATCTGCGAAATCCAGGTCCTCTAGGTTCTTCACGTCAGTCACCTGTCCATTTTACATATATATATATACATATATGGTCTCAGCTATACATAACACACTTCTAACAGAAATCCTTAATGTTCTGGTTATGTTAAGACGAATTGTATTTAGTATGACGCGAATACATTGATACAACAGTATCTAGTCTTATGTGTGACAGAACAAGTTCATCACGAGTAGTTCATATATTCAGAGTTTTGGTTATGCATAGAGAATACATCTCGCCAAATGTGAGCTATTTCACTATTCGCCTACTGAATCCTAACGACCCCCTAAGAAACAACTTCCATAGCTAAATAGTTGAAACAATCAACAATCTGTGAGGTTCTTTTTTTTTATAGAAAACCAATACTTTTGAAATGTAAACTGTTCATGGTTAAATACCAGTAAACATGTTGGTATTAGATATTAGGACTGTGGGATTGTGTTGGACAACTTTTTTGTCTGTACAATAGTCAGTGACTAGTGTAATCTGTCTAGTCCTTTGTTTGGTGCAGACTGAATTCCATCAGTCAAGTCTAAAATGTGGCCACCATACCGTTAGGTGGTTCACCATCATGGTGTACTGTGAATTGTTGGTATTCGGTGGTTGGAAGCAATCAGTAGGAAATCTTCCAAATAGATTTCGTGCTAGTTGGCACTCATTGGTCAGAAAGGTGTATTTGCAACTGTCTTAAAGCAACTCGTGTCCCGTCTAAGATTCGAATACACACCACCCAATGCTGCAGTCAGAGATGTTACCATTGAGCTATCCATGCTCGGAATTGACCTCCTGTAAAAGTGTATTGGATATTTTTGATTAGAGGCTAGTTAGTGACTAGTGTAATGTGTCTCGCACATCTAGGATAGGATTCAGAACGCACCAAAAATAGGACTAGACACATTACACCATTTACTGACTATTGTCCATTCAAAAACATCTGTAAACATCCTTATGCAATCCAACATGGTAAGAACAACAAATTCAACAGGATGATATGAAGTCATCGTTTTTTGCTAGATCTCAACTTCATGTTATCAAAGAACTTTTTGCCTTCATCAGATGTGTGTGTGTTTCGATACGCATAACATGAAAGGCAGACCTGTCAAGTTTAGATTGTTTCAGTGAGCAATTTAACTGCAATTCAAGGGCGATTTACCAAACTAAATAATTACAAAGAAATTTGGCAAATCAGTTCAGAGAACTTTTAATGCTGGCGAACTACACGTCTTATTCTCTACACGACCGATGGCGGTGCTACCTCGACTGAAAGATGAAGTACCTAGACTAGCTGGCCACTTCAAATTGTATCTACCAATTCAACTGCGCTGATAGTGGAGCGAGTTATATTGGCCGTTGCTATAGGAACCTGAATCTTTATGCTCGAGGACATCTCCCACTATGGCTAAGTAAAGATGTAGTTAAAACCATCATGAACAGTTCGATATTGGACCATCTGGTGCAAACTGGCCGGCCACAAAACCAGCCAACCAGCGTGGAAGAATCCTTCTCTATCATCATCATCATCTACCGGGTGACAAATAAATTGCCAAAATCATCGAATCACCGCATACTGCAAACAGC